ATATACATACAGTACGTACATCAGCAACTTAAGCATTGGTTTCATAATGAGAAAATTTTGACTTTGAATTTGTTATTTTGTAATTATGTCATTTATTTGTTTTAATTTTCTTCATTTTAGTCTTAAAAACACCTAAATTTGTACATAACACTTTTTTGTCAGTCTGATGACACAATTTTAAAATATTAAATCACATGTTATAATCAGTTACTCAGTTACTCAAGTAGCCTCTTTACAAAATTTACTCTTACTTGACTAATCTCTTGTATTTCTAATTTTTACATTTACTTGAGTAAAAATATACTGAATTAGTGCTACAGTTATTTGAGTACAACTTTTGGATACTCTACCTACCTCTGATTACTTAAGAAGATTCAGACTATAATCCAGTATTGTTAAATTATTTAGATGGCTAATTTCTGCAGTGTAATGCATTTTTTAAACTCTGTCGTTAAATGTAGTTGGTAATATGCATTCTTTCAAGGAATGCAAGGACTTTAATTATTGTTTGCATTTGCTAATTGTGCTGTTTATACAACAGGGTCACTTAGTTTTAAATTTTGTTTCTAATTAATGCTGAAAGACACATCTCCAAGTCCTCTTTGACAAGGTGATGACATGTTTATAGATTGATGGTGATTTTTTTTTCTTTCTGAATGACAGAGTTTGGACTGAGCTGGAGCTACAAAGCTGTCACGTGTGACTGAAGGATGAGAGGATCAGGAACTCCACTCCTTCCTATTTTGCACCCACAGGGTGAGAGTGAAGAATGTGTGACATTTCCACACAGACAGGACAACAGACAGTGAAAGCCAGATGGTTGACGAAGGAGCAAAAACATGAGCAGAGGTTAAACAGTGACTGACAGGCAGGTGGAAGTGTTTGTGGGCTTTTTTTATTTTATTTTGGTGGTGTGTGTATACCGAAGATAAAACTCATACTGACAGAGCAGCCTTTGCAGAAACTGCACAGGCGAGTGCATGCTGGTGTGTGCTGTGACATGCCTACACCTCCTTTCTACCCCCTACCACCCCAAGGCAACTGGCCCACACCTGACCCCGCCCTGCCCTGACTGGCCCCACAGAGCCTGTTGTAAAAGAGGATGAGAAGGGGGACTGTTTTCAACCCCACGGGGGGCAGTCACTGTGGATCCATCAGCCCAGCTTAAGGCCCTCTCCTCTGGGCAGTTGTGCTCAGCAGGCCCCCTCCAGCCTCCAGGAAGATGGAGGCCTTTGAAACAACCCCCCCAACTCCAGACTCCAGAGACGTGCTTTTTGTCTGGTAGCGGTGGGGGGTGCATTGACGACTGACTCCATCTTTGTGAACATACCACGCTAGAAACGCTAAATTACAGTCAAACAATCTGAAGGACAAGGCGGCCATGTTGTGTCAAAGGTAGTCGAAAGTGTTTAATATCATTAAAGATGCTGAGCGTTCCCATCACTGCTCACTGCTCCTGTTTGGATTCACTACAGCCTGTTTCCCTCAGCATATGCATGACAGCAGCTTGTACCATCACTTTGTAGTCTCAGTCAAAGTTCGCAGTCAAATCCAGAACAATGAGTAGTTACATTTTCGCCTCCTTTTTGTCTACAGATCTCCACAGGAATCCCCAGAACTGCTTGGCTGGAGAGAGCTGAGCATTGCCTGCTACAGCGGTCCGCAGAGCTTCCCTCTGTGTGAACAAAGAGACACTATAGTGCAACAGAGAAGCAGAGAAAAGCCAGGCATGACAGGGCAGAGAGTCTCTTCTCTTCTTCTTTGTAACTCCAGAAGAACTTAGCAAAAACCCTTCTCAAAAAGATAAAACTATGTTTGCTGGATACTTTCTATGCTTTATGCATCTTTATGCCTACAGGTTGTTATCTTTGGGCACAAGGAAAGTCCTTTGGTCCACTTGTTTGATCTGGACCAAAAGCAAACTTTATTTTTTTGCAAGTGGCCTATAATTCACAAACAAAGCCACACGGGTTACAATCAGTGTTCCCATTGGACAAAAATGACAGGGGCGGAACAGAGAGCAGACCCAGAAAGTTTTATAATTTTGGGACGGTGTTGGCAAATGCGTGCTGCAGCCCAAAGGAGACAAGCTGTTCTACGTTCCCTGACCCACAACGACTCATTGTTTGTAGCACAGTGGTAGCATTAGCAAAACTGAAAGGTGTTACTATGATGCTTAGTAATGGTGGATCGTGAAGTCCAAAAAGGCGCATGTTTCCTGCAGTTTGTTCAGTTCAAGTCAATCATGTTCACATCAGAAGCAAACCGCACCAGTGTGTTTGGAAGTGGGCTGAGACCACCTCAAAAATGAGTCTCGGTCCGATTGTTTGATCCGCATCAGGGTTCACGAGCGTATTCACACCTGCATGAAAGGTCCATACCAACGAGGAAATGAACTCCGGTCTGTTTAAATTGGTGAATATGCTCTTTGTGTGTACAGGTCTGTGGTTTTTGTGAATAAAAAGAGAATATTTCTACGCATCTTTCATTAAAATCTCAACACAGAGCTCTGTGTGTCATCAGCCAAAAATACACACATAAACTCACATGTATAGGTCTCTGCGAATGCTGCTGTCGAATCAGAGCATGCTGCCATACATAGATGTTAAAAGATGTGGTAAATAAATGACTACAGCAGATTTTTACAAAATGATGATTGGCCCAAACATTTGAGACATTCATCAAAACATCGCTGTAGTCAGAGGTTTACATCCGCTCATCCTGGCCATGAATGTCATAATAATTTGGGGGTTTTAATGATTGATTGATACGTTTTCCAGGCTGGATTGAATACACAATGTGCAACTTCAGTGATTTTTAAAATGAAGAACAGGGTGCAGTTTGGATTCTTTGTGGATTAAAAAGAAAAAAGCGCACACAGAGACACATGAACCAGTCAAAACAAATCTTAAGAATGTCATTTTCAAGATTTGTTGGACTGTTTTAACCCAGCGTCTCTGACAAACTGGTGACAAACATGAACATTTTATGTTGACAGTCACACATTTGGCTTTTGACCAGTGAGATGTTCAGACTAAGGTCTTGACTGTGCCAAAAAAGTGTTGTGATTAAATGCTGACTACATGCAACCTTCAGTTATTTTTCATTCACTGCTCTATGATTCATTCTCAAAACGTTCTTCTTAAACTAAGATGTCAACAAGAGGCAATGATTATGATGACACACAGAAATGATACACTGAAAGAAATGTCGACTATGTAAGTGTAGTGTGATAAGTAATGCTTCCACCCAAGGTCCAAGGGGTCCCTGAGCGAACTGACAAGTATGAAATCGAGGTGCTTCTTGTGCTTGGGTTCGGGCTGACCCAAACTAATGCAAAACAGTCGTGTGAGAAACAAACCATTCTTTCATTCAAACCCAGAAGTCCAAGGCTGTGAAGGCTGCACTTCACAGTTGTGGCTTCTTTAGAGCTCTGGCGGCTAAGGTCAGCCTGTGTCACACTTCTTGTGGAGTCAGGAATTTAAAACAACTCATGTCTACAAACTGTAACAGGCACTTTAAATACTTCAACACAATCTCTTATCTTCACTCACATTTTTTTATATTTAATGAATCTATTAACAATTTACAAAGTGCTCAAACTTTAAGGCTTCTATAATGTAAAGCTAACTAAACTTGTAATCAAACCAAGTGTCAGAATAGCATTTGAATAAACTGTTAGTAAACATAATTGTGCATTTCAAAAATCTTTGAAAGTGGAGCATTAAAGAAAGCTTGTTATGGACTGACGACAGTTTAGACCTTTTGAAGTGCAATTATATCTAAAGGTTATGAAACATTAATATCTTACATGTTGTAGATAGTTATGTTCGGAGTAAGAGAGTTTAATTCAGATCGGATTGTTGAGCTAACGGCTCATCTGAGTGAGGTCCATGACCAAAGTGGATTGCTGTTGTCTTGAGGCAACTTTAATCTCAACATTTTCATAGAAGTTTGTGCAAATTTTATTTTATAACATTTAGATCAAGGTCAGTTTAATTCTGTTGATTTGCAGTGCAGCTAGCCACAGAGGCAGCTAACTATAGCCCTCTTGGTTCAGCCTGGGCCACGTCCCGCAAGATTTCATAACATTTCTGCCAAAATCATCACAATTGTTTTTTATGACAAATAAGAAATTAATTGTTTATGACCTTTCCAGAAAACCTCACTTCAAATAATCTGAAGCGTCACTTTCACAAGCACACATTTTCACTCTTCTTGATACAAAGTGCAGATTTTTGTGCATGCATTTATTTCAAGGACCACATTTCCTGAACTGTTTGGCGTAAAGTGTCCGCTGAAATAAACACAACAGCTTTACTCACAGTCTCTCCAGCTCTTTCAGGTCCTGGAAAGCTCCTCTTTCGATTGTGGTGATTTTGTTCTCCATTAACTGTCTGCGAGAGAAACAAGAAGCGAGTGTGAGTCTAGATGGAGGGGGGAAAAGAGAATGTTGAGTGTGTGATGAATCAGTGATAGGTTAAAAAGCAGAAGCTATATGGATGGGTTAGGTCACAGATAGGAGTGAAAAGACAAAGAGAAGGAGCAGACACAAGAGAGACAAAAAGACTGGCATTGGAGGAGAAGATGGAGGGAGAGATGGAGGAGATTGGCACAGAAGGGGAGTGGAAAAAGAAAACAAACAGATTGGTAAAGATTGAAAGGGAGAGAATGTTGAAACAGCAAAAAAGGAGGGGAAAAAAGACAATCAGCAGTGGGTCGATAGAGCCTCAGAATTGACTCTAAAAGTGGTCCATCAGCCGGACAGTGACTCATCCATCATCCAATTTACTCCGTCTAACCACAGAGCTGTGACCACTCATTCACTTAGAACTCTCTGGGATCATCGCGCTGACCAAGTCAAAGAACACACACATTTCATATGTGCTGCGTGCACAGGCGTGCACTGAACTGGGCCCTGGGGAAACTACTACGTAAAACGGATGAAGACACCCACGCTGAAAAAAACACAACACAACTGCAAATTCTTCAAATAGTCATCCATGTGAGTCTCCAATATCTTTCAGATGATTTGCTCAGTTTTAATCGCTCTGTGGTCCTTTTGAATCCCTTTACAGCTGCTTTCTTGTCACTGTGAAACAATTTTTTTTATTATTTTACAAATTATTGTGGTTGTTTGGTGCTCCAGCTGGAATTAATTTGCATCTGTACTTATTTTGTGTCTTTCTGTTATCACTTTGCATGATTTTGTGGTTGTGTGGTGCCTCTAATTGCTCATTTTTGCATCTTTTTTGCATTTAATTTATGTCTGTGTCATAGTTTGAGTTCTGTGCATCTCGCTGCAAGACTTCCATTGCTCTTTTGCTTAATATGTATCAAAGTGTTTGCTTCTTGCAATGATTTTTTTTAAATATTATGTGAATCTGTATATCTCCCACATTTAGTTTGTATTTCTACTGTTGTGTCTACATAGAAATACCAATGTTACCTGAGAATTTTGCTTTCTCCCCACGCATCATACAGGAAAAATGCTTCTCTTTTTGATTGTTATCCAAATTCAATTTGGGTACCATTCTTTTTTGCTGATTTCTATCTCTTTCTTGTCATAATTCATGGTGAACAAAGAGACCGCCCAAAATCCAAAGCTCATGAATGATGGCAGAAACTCAAAGTTTTTAACAACAAAGTGCACAAAACCAACCTTTCCACAGGCAATGAAGACAAAAACCAAACTTTTAGTAGATTAAAAAAGGAGAGTCCAAGAAATTAACAAACAAAACAATGACCTTAAATAGCTTCTATGATAAATAATCAATGAAAAACACTTCTGGTGTGAATATTGACAAGGGAGTGGCAAAACAACTGCAACCAAAAAAAAAAATACATCCTTCAAAATAAAACAGGAAGCAAGGACTGAACTGAAATAACTACAAAACTAAAATCCATATGCAACAGTGCTGGTTTTTTGTGTATCTTTGTTTTATATTGCTATAATTATATTCTCTTTGTTTATTCTGTATTTATCTATAGATCTTTTGTTTCTTCCTTCAACACCCCCTGGAGTCTTGGCCCTGCACGTTTCCTCCAATTTATTACATGTTCTTTTTCTTCTTCTACGTACAATAACAAATAAAGAAACAAAGGAAAACCTCGAAAGCATTATTAATGTAACCATGACCTTGTATTCCTTCAATCTGTTTAAAGGAAAAAAAGCTAATAATCTTCACATTTTGTCCTGAAAATCAAATGAAACAGTTGTGCCAACATCAGCAGGTTTATACAAAAACGTCTATAAGAAAGCACTCATAAATCTACCCTAATCTAATTAAGAATATAATCTCAACAGGAATTCCAACCATTCACACACACACACACACACACACACACACACACACACACACAC